TCATAATCATTAAAAGGATTCGGGATGATGAGATTCTATGTGACAGTATTACGATAACTAGATTCCGATTAGCAGGAGTGGGATATCGGGATTTATAAACTGCAGGTATTTCCTAACCCTGGCAACACTGGGTTACATGCTGGTTTTAAATTTATGTGAAATCTGAATACCGCTGTTTCGGCTGATTTGTGTCAAAACTATCAATAACTCAGCAAATTTACTTAAAAATTAAAAATAATTTTAAAAATTCTTGTAAGCAAAAATTTGTACTAACTATGGTCACATTCTTGGTTTGCCTATATCCATAATCCAGGTTGATCCGTAAAAAAATATTTGACATTAAGACTTCTTTCGTTATCGTCCTCAAACAGCGATCTAACTTGCATGCCCGCCACATACTTGATCGCATCTCCTGCATTTTATTCAGAAGTTCACGAACCTGTGTTCTCTAATGGGTATCTTAGCAGGTTGCCGTTAATTGTTATGACGGCGATTTAATGTTGACCCATGGTTTAAAAGATTCCAGAGTTGAACGTCAATTTTCAACTGATAATTTTCAAATTGGATTGCAATTGTTCATTTTCTGAGTTTCTTGAGTAAATATATGTCAGCAAACTGCGCGTACAAATGAGATTATACGAAGCAGATGCTTAATTATGTGATTAATTTTACGGACATTCAGCTCCTTTGCTCCTGGCATTTTTTACATGTAATCTTCGCATTGAGCATCGCTAAAAATGCTTACTCGATCACGTGATTTAGCGCCGCTCGTACCAAGTGACAAATAATCACGTGTAAAATTTTGAAAATGAAATTTTTTTTAAACTTTAGTGACTATTGCAGCAGCATTGCATGACCTCATTGCGTGCTTGGGCGCGTCAAAAATGGCTGGGCACGTCGAAATTTACCGGTTTTGGCCATCATGATGCCGGAATACTTCATTATAGGACCGTCGAACCATTCGTCGAAATCTTTGATTATCACCCGAGAAGTTGAGGTATTTGCTGAAATTTTCGGGCAATTGAAATGCGGCAAAGGGCGGCGTAAGTCGAGCATTCATGGATATATTTAATCATTGTGTCAACGTTGATATTGTAAATGGCTACGTTGTATTCGTAACCATTTTCACCACGTTTTCACGGCAGCAAAGGAGTAGGTACGGAATAAGCAAAACTTTTTCAGAATTTATTTTATTGCGGGGCATTTTTCTTGGGCGGGTTCCGGATGGTTGGGCGGGTTTTACAGTTCTAGGTGCCGCACGGATTGTATGGTAATGAGGGTTTAAAACTTGAAGCTGTTACTGAACCGAAATTTACAGTTGCAGCAAAGGGATAAGCTGTTTCGGGTAGAATACCTGCAGAAGTTTTGTGCTGATGTGGCAGGAAACAAAAAAGGAACGGACAGTTTAGCCTGAGGTGAAGCTGATAATTAATGACTTGGCAAATGTTCAGATTTTATTCAAGGCTTTATTCTTGTTTCATAATTTGTTACCGTTGATTTTTCATAAATTCTGTTACGCACTTTAGTAGCAAGGATGCGTTAATTTTTAACCAAGAATATAGTTACTATTAATATAAATCATTCTTTTAATTTTCAGTATTGGAGGAACATAATCGTAGTTGCATGCACCAGTATACTAACGTGCAGTTATCGTGTCGAATATTGATTCCCTGTTTCTCCATCGACAACAAAATTCATTTATCATCTATAAAGGAACGAGTAAGTGACTTATACTTCAAATCCGCAAAAGGCATTCAAGTCTTTCAGAACGGAGAAAAATCTCGAAAAGGTTGCACGGTATTCTATGGATTTGTACCCATCCTGAACGTCTTATCAAGAAAAAAATAATTGTCACTCACAATATCCCGGAATAATTCTTCCTAAAATCGGTCATAATTTTTTCAAATTTTCAAGATGCGTTTATAGCAAATGGTTTTTATAAATTTTGCAAGTCTTTTAAATTGAACTCAACAGGCAGACTTAATTGCTTCGCAACTCGGAAACATCAATACGCTGCACGTTGAACCACCGGGTGGCTGTCGGGGGGTCGTTCTCCAGTTCATACGCATATCATACGTTCATTCACACGTTATCCAGTTCATAATGCTTTTGCATTCAGTAAAGTATATTTATGCGGATAGCTTTGTACATCCTGCTCTTCTTTGTCACATGGTATCCGACGAGACTGGCTGTGGCAGCTTGGACATCTGAAAACCGCAGTACATGTCGATCTCGGTTCAACATTGAGGAGGACCTATATTAGGGTCTGTTTCAGGGCATCAACCAAGTTTTGTGAAGCTGAGTGTGATCAGAGCTCAGGCTCATTACAGCTACTGCATGATGCAGAGAAAACTTTCCGTTATCTTGCTAATTGCGGAGGGAAAGATGTTCCAAAATTTGTTCATTTTTTGCGTTTACCTTTTGTCCATGATACGGGTGAAGAGGGTAAAACGGTATTCGCTCATAAAATTCGTGTTTAATGTTATAGATTTTGATTTATTTTACCCTCTTTGTTGGTACCCTGCGTTGGTCCAATGGAGTTGGAATGTAATTTATGATTGTTATTGCAGTCGCTACAAATTAATGACAAGTTGGTCGTGAGAACTCCCGCTGGTTCAAAGTGGTGAACGATTAACAATGTTTAGGAATAACTTAACGAGTAAGATGTTCGGCGTACAATCAAGACTAACAAAGAGTGCCTCAATAATCAGAAAATAATATTCTCTCTTGCCCTAGCCTGTCATCTGATTTCATTCCAATACTAAAAATTTAAGGGAGATTATGATTGATTACTAGTTAATGGTCTGTTCAGAAATGACCTAATTAATTAATAAGTTAATTAATTTCTATGATGCTAAGAAAGTTCTACGATGTCCACCGATAGCTTGCTACCAAATTGCATAAATAAATAGCATCGATAATTTATTCTCTTGACTTTAGCAAACTTTTTTTTTGTAATGATCCCTTCCCTTGACTTTAGCGAATTTGACTTTAGTGAACTAGTTCCTTGTTATAATTTTGTAGAATGCTACTTCATTTTCCATTCGACGTATATCACGTCGAATAGTTAATAACAGAATTACATTTCTTTAGCGATCCTGATCTTCTGGAGTATCTTAGTGATGTATGCGTAATGGAATATGATAATACCTGAATATCACGTTATTTCCAGGCCTACTGGATCTGAAGAATTCCTGATAGAAAATTGAACGGTTAGCAAGCAACAACAGCTCATAAAATGCAAAAATTTGCTGTGGTTTTAAAAATAGGCGTAAATAATTATCGAATATCAATTTAAAATTCCACGTGAAGAAGGCATAATAACATTGAAAATAAATTTTCATAAGCCATATTTGCCATGCCGGCTGTGAATACAGAAATTGTTGGCGAAGTCATCATCGACGAATTCCGGTCCAGCGATTCTGACTCAGACTCCAGGCCGCGTAAAACAAGGCAAGTGCGCTTAGTCTTGCCTAAATTAAAAAATTATTCAAACTAAAATGAGAATACGATTTACAGCGAGGCTAATGTCGAAAGGGGAAATACAATTGTGTTAAAATACAAATAAAATATGAAACTTATTGCTTTATGTATTTTGGAGGTGGTGTTATCCAAACTTAAGGGCTTTATTAACACGTTATTCGAGAACTGCGTTCTTCCAGAACTGATGTAAAGAAACTGTCATGCGGCTGGACCACTGTGGACTGAAAGAACAAAGTCATTCACGAGCGATAATTACTTCTGATAACCAAGAATTTTTGCAATTACTAGTGAGAATTTAATAAAAAATTGTATACAAACGAAACTCTAATTCTCATTCTGATTTTGATGCACCTTCAACAGTTGGTGTAATCACATGTAACTGAGAGCGATACAAGAATGCTGTAAATATGATTACAGCAATTCTCAAAAAATTAATAGTGAAAAAGATCGGTTCGCGAAGAATTAGTATAGAAGTTTTCACATAATGAGCACATGTGAAAAATCTTTCTATGCTTTTTATAATTTGGTTTATATTCAACATGCGCTGCCTTGAACATGTGAGGCATTGGGAACAATAAAAATAGAACTCTAACGTAGATCGGTTACAATGAATCGTTGGCTTATTGTTGAACATATAGATTATAGAGCCATAATGCAAGAAACATTTCTCCAAATCTACAAGTTCATAAACCTTAACGATATATGACAATGTTGGAACTTACTGCTAAACTCGCTGTATTTTCTCTCACTGACAATTAATAAAGCTAAATCATGTTCTCATAACACGAAATTAGCTAATTTTTAAATTCAGCATCATGAAATGAAGAATGTTTATGACTAGAAACGTTATATTAATCTGCTGTCGCTGATCCATCTAACCAAGTGAAGTTCAATTTATTGATGTATACGTAAATGTCTATATTAATGTATACATGTGTTCATTAATATACTCGTGCAATAATACTCCATTTCATGACGGTTCGCATTTTAAAAGCTGAAATAGCCTGCCACATTTTCCATGAAAACGTTTGTGTGATATTTCACCCCAGGACGTTTAAAAAAAATTGAGGACTTCCTGCATTCAATTCAGTTATTTACAATTCCTTCCAGGCACTCATGGCAGCTATTTGCGTTCAGAATGAATGCCCTATGTATTAGGAATGTAGAAAATGCATTTAAATCACGTTATTTATTACTTACTGCTAAATGCTAGGGCTATATAATTTGCTTATTGATCTAATTTGAGTTCACGAGTGCATTTTTTTGCTCTGGTAATTCACACCGAATGTGTAAATATCGCGTCGGATTCATTTTATTCATACTAAAAAAATACTTCTCGTTCAAAAATCGTATGCTTAATTATCCCCCATGAAGAATGTTTTTATCAAATCACGATCGAAGAAAAAATTTCTATTTTACTTCTCTTAGATCAAAACACGAGTATATGCTGAACATTTTTAATATAGTATCAGAGTATTATTTCCTAAAGTATTCAGTGTAGTACATTTTGTTCCCAGATATTGGAGTATAGAACGCTCGGGCGGTAGTGGTGCCACAGCGTCGGGCGGAAGCTATGGACGAGTGCGACAAAATCTACGGGAGCGAGGACAACTATTTCAGGACCCCGACTTCCCGGCCTCTCCACGCTCTCTGTCTCCCAAAACCAAGCCCAACCAGCCCACTATTGTCTGGCTCAGGCCTCACGTAAGTTGTAGGAGTCTTCTGACTTTGGTAGAATTGAAAGGTAGAAGAAATTAAATTCAATTGATTAATTATTAATTTTTTATATATCAGCTTTTCCCCCGTTTTTTGTCACTAAATACATATTTTAAACTCAGCCGTATGACTGAGCAGTCCGCATCTACGATAAAGTTCTAGGTCAAAGCTACAATAATTGACAATTTACTGGAACGTTATTCCTTACGTGCAAATCATTCCAACTAATTCGCTGTCAAAATTCTCCATGAATGATGGATGTCTGATATTCAGGAGATTTACCACTACACCTAATTTACTGTCAAATTTAACATGAATGATGTCTGGTATTCAGGAGATCTGCCACTACACCTAATTCACTGCCAAATTCAGCATGAATGATGTCTGTTATTTAGGATACCTGCCACTACACCGAATTCACTGCCAAAATTCAACATGAATGATGTCCGGTGTTAAGGAGATCTACCACTACACCTAATTCACTGTCAATTCTCCATTAATGATGTCTGGTATTCAGGAGATCTGCCACTACACCTAATTCACTGTCCTAATATACCTAATACCTAATATAAACTTCCTAATATACCTAAGTAACTGCAGAAATTTTAATCGAGTGTTTCTAATCGAGTCTGGTGTTCAGGAGATCTGCGCTCGGCCCAAGTTTATAGCGGAGGGCGCGACGCGCTTCGATGTAGAGCGCGGCGAGCACGGCGACTGCTGGCTGCTGCAGGCGGTGTCCACCCTCACCCTCACCCCTAAGTTCCTCGACAGAGTCGTCCCGCCCGACCAGGCCTTCGACCACACATACTGCGGCATCTTCAGGTGCTGCAACAATTTCCAACATATGGTCATTATTTCAGTGTGACGGATACCAATAAAATTTAACCTAAATTTATTCCCGTTTTGAATAAAGGAACGTAATGATAAACCATTTCCAACTTATGGTCAATAATTTAGTGTGATAGATACAATTATAATTCAAACTAGAATTTTGAATATATAATTTAAACTAGAAATCCTGTTTTGAATAAAGGTACGTAATGGTAGGGAGTTCATGCGTGCTGAAATTAAAAATGTATTTCCTGGCTGGCAGGTTTCGGTTCTGGCAGTTTGGCGAGTGGGTGGAGGTGGTGGTGGACGACAGGCTACCTACGAACAAGGGAAGACTCGTGTACCTGCACAGCACAGACCCCACCGAGTTCTGGGCAGCTCTCTTAGAAAAAGCCTATGCAAAGTGAGTAATCAGCGGCACATTCTGATGAGAAGCAAAACATCAGGATCGAATAGAATACTTGAGAATGTAAACTGCTACCACATCACGCAGTTAACACTAGTCGCCCTAACCCCTGCTCTCGCTGCTGCAGTCTCTGCTACGACTCTCTGCAGTTAACTGTAACCACCATATCCCATGCAGACTGTACGGCAGCTATGAGTCTCTGCAGTTAACTGTTGTCACCCTAACCCCATCAGACTGTACGGCAGATACGAGTCTCTGCAGTTAACTGTTGTCAACAGACTGTACGGCAGCTACGAGTCTCTGCAGTTAACTGTTGTCACCCTAATCCCTGCAGACTGTACGGCAGCTACGAGTCTCTGCAGTCTGGTTTCACGACGCGGGCGCTGCAGGATCTGACGGGGGGCATCGTGCAGAGTTTCCCGCTTTCACTGCAGGAAAAATTCCTCTGCTACCAAGTGCTTAATTCCGCCGTGCCGAGGTCTTCGCTTCTTGTCGCTTCTATTAACAGCGTGAGTCTTGATCTTCTGAATGTTATTATTATGATATTATTGTCAATACTGTGTAATTACCTCTTGCTGATATCATTTTATCATAGTCTATATGGTATATTGTATCGGGTAATGGATTGTAAATGTATTGTGTATCATAATATTATCAATAATATTATATTGATATTATTATGATGATGTCAAGGTCAATATAGCATATTGAAGTCTAGGAGTGATAATGATATGATTATTATTAATATAATTTTTTCGCCAACAGAAACCTCATGCCAGTATTATGTTTTATTGTTCTTACTACCTTCTATCTGTATGGCAGTGAAATTTTTGAAGTTAATTATGTAGACTTATAATACAGGGTAAACCAGAATTAACTGACCCTTTTAATTAGTTAATAAATAAAAAACTAAGAACGTTATGAAGTTGAAACTTGTTTTATTTAAAAGAAGAATATTTTTATGGTAATATTGTATCCAAGTTAAAATATTGTATCCTATTACAATATTTTATTATTGTATTAGTTAAAATATTTATTATGTATTAATAATATGTATTAACAGCAGGTGTTGGTCTGGCTAGCGTGGGCGTAGATCGGGCTGGCGTGGGCGTAGATCAGGCTTGATGCAAGCGCAGCAGGTGTTGGTCTGGCTAGCGTGGGCGTAGATCGGGATTCATGTAAGCCCAGCAGGAGTTGGTCAGGCTGGCATGGGCTTAGATCAGGCTTGTTGATGCAAGCCCATGCAGCAGGTGTTGGTCAGGCCGGCGTGGGCGTAGATCGGGATTCATGCAAGCCCAGCAGGCGTTGGTCAGACTGCCGTTGGCGTAGATTAGACTTAATGAAAGCCCAACAGGTTTTGGTCTGGCTGCCGTTGCCGTAGATCAGGCTTGATGCAAGCCCAGTTTAGTTGATTATTCGAGGCTAGCGGAAAACAGGCGTTGGTCTGGCCCGCGAGGGCTTAGATCAAGCTTGATGCAAGCCCAGTTTAGTTGATTATTCGAGGCTAGCGGAACTAATTAACGTTTCAGGAGCTGCTCTATAGAGGCGATCCTCTCGCCCCGTTTAATGCCAAGTTTCAAGTGCTGATGCCTAGAGATTTTTGTATTAAAGTCGCGGTAAAGGAACACTTGATTTTAGACGTAAAACAAGAATTTCGTTTAGTAATGAGCAAATTAATGGTTAAAGTGTACAAATTGCATTTTTTTCGCTAGTTAAACATGTATATTTTTTGTGTTCGATGTGCAGATGCCTCCACGTTTAGTGCCTAAATTTTTTTTTCATTGTCTTAATGAAGGGGCATTGCGAGGAATTAGTGGATTTATTCCGTATACTCAGAAAAAGGAGAGAGAATTCGCCCAAATAGCGATGCATATTTTGCGCGCGACTGTGTTTTCCTGACCCAGTTTGGCCCTGCAAATTGGCATAACAGTGCTACTTAATTAATTAACTCAGTTGTGTCTCTATTCCTGTGTCGCTATTCCTCCTAATATGACGCATTTATTTTTTTTTTTGAGAGCACATAATTTCTCAAATTTCATACCAAATTCTATTTATTAAGTACACCTTTGGAAGTGAATTGATGATTTCTGATGGAAGGATGAATACCCAGTGCCATCATTCCTATTCAGTGATTCGACATTCTTCTCTTCAATCATAAATTGGTTAAATTTTTTTTTTGTTTCACCGTTCATTTGAATTTACCAGCTACGCTTTTCGGATTGGAGAAAAAGTAAATCATTTTATTTAATCGTCCATTAATTTTACGTCGTTAAATTTTCGTAAATGAGAATAATAATATTACATAACTTCCGTGTCCGGCAAAACTAGAAGCACTAATTGTTCACGACGAAAAAATAAACTGAAGAAATGTGCATTCCATCCGTGTGTTATGTTGGAGACACGTGCGTATCAAGCCTGTGTTATGTTGGAGACACGTGCGTATCAAGCCTGTGTTATGTTGGAGACACGTGCGTATCAAGCCTGTGTNGTGCGTATAACGCGTGTGTTATGTTGGAGACACGTGCGTATAATGCGTGTTATGTTATACGCAGAACAAGGACGGGGGGGCGGCGCTGCAGTTGCGTAACGGCCTCGTGACGCAGCACGCGTACAGCGTCACGGGCCTCGCCCGCGTCAGGAGCAAGATGGGCGTGGCGCCCCTCGTACGGTGAGTGGTGCCCCTCGTGCGGTGAGTGGTGCCCCTCGTACGGTGAGTGGTGCCCCTCGTGCGGTGAGTGGTGCCCTTCGTACGGTGAGTGGTGCCCTTCGTACGGTGAGTAGTGCCCCTCGTACGGTGAGTGGTGCACCTCGTGCGTTGAGTGGTAACATTCACTGCAAATTTGGCCCATTGTTCCCAAAAAAGTTTGCTGGATCTAAGATTGTTTAATAAATATTCATATTGTTGGTTAGCGCTATCTTGGAGAGGAAAAAATACCAGAACGGAATGCAAAATACGAATTTTTCAATAATCTCTCTTTTATCTTCCTAGAAGACTTGCCAACATTTTTTTAAATAGCGAGGAATAATAATCAATCTAATATGATGCATACTAAATGAATAGGAAATGTAAATTCCTGAGTAATCAATGTCATTCAAATTTTTTTTTTTTTTTGACTAGAGTGATTCTAAATTTGTCACACTGTCATGGACTGCATTCTAATAGGTTTAAGAAATTAATCTGCTTTTGTGTGATCAAATGCATGCATGTAGATTCTTTTGTCCCACGACTATACAATGAAATTATTCAAACTTCAAATTTATTTAAATTTCGAACTTATTTAAGGTTAAATGTCCAGGTTACGGAACCCGTGGGGGGCGGGCGAGTGGAATGGTCCCTGGAGTGAGCGGTCATGGGAATGGGAATCTCTGTCTGAGCGCGACAAGGAATTGCTGAGCGTACGAGTACGCAACGAGGGAGAATTTTGGTGAGTGCCTTATGCTACAGACGTTCATTATTATCAATTATAATAATGAGTATTGATGGTGAATTATAATATTGCTCAAAAATTCCACATACATTTAGGACACTAATATGAATTTATATCACTTGTTTGCTTAAATCGCAAATTAACTAAGAATTTAAAAGCAAAGAAGAGTGCACAAAAATTCATATCTTTATAGAAAACGTTTCGGAGACCAGCTCCATCGTCAGTTCGTAGAATCTATAATCACAAATCAGAAGTCACAAATTAATACATTGAAAGCTCAGAACGAAATTAAAAACCTAAATTTACAAGTAATAGACGGAGCAAAAAAAAAAAGAACTATCTATTAACAATTTCAAGGGGATTGGAGCTAGCAGCTGAATTCAAACTGGGCCTAAGTTTAAAGATGTACAGTGATTCTAAAATGCGCAAATCGGAAGTCCCGGAGGTGGAAGCTAACACCCTAAAGTCACTGTCAGAAAAAGGGACATCACACTGCTCGGCGTGAGCGCGCACAGCCGAATGAGGTGGGCGCGATAGCAACTGTCCGGTTCTACAACTCCTGCCCTTATGCTCAGAGACCCTGGAATAAAGATTGCGTGATGTCATCCCGACGTACGTAGATGCACATCGCGCACAACAATATTGATAAACCGATTTCATATGCGATCGTCCCTGTTTTATCAATATTGTTGTGCACGATGTGCATCTGCGTACGTCGGGATGACATCACGCAATCTTTATTCCGGGATCTCTGAGCATAAGGGCAGGAGTTGTAGAACCGGACAGTTGCTATCGCGCCCCCCTCATTCGGCTGTGCGGGCTCACGCCGAGCAGTGTGATGTCCCTATTTCTGACAGTGACTTTAGGGTGTTAGCTTCCACCTCCGGGACTTTCAATTTGCGCATTTTAGAATCACTGTACATCTTTAAACTTAGGCGCCTAGTTTGAATTCAGCTGCTAGCTCCTATCCCCTTGAAATTGTTAATAGATATTTCTTTTTTTTTGCTCCGTTTATTACTTGTAAATTCAGGATTTTAATTTCGTTCTGCGCTTTCAATGTATTAATTTGTGACTTCTGATTTGTGATTAAAGATTCTACGAACTGACGATAGAGCTGGTCTCCGAAACGTTTTCTATAAAGATATGAATTTTTGTGGACTTTTCTTTGCTTTTAAATTCTTGGACACTAATATCTTGTGAGTGAATTATTTACAGATTTAAAACCTGTTCTTATTAATAGAAGGGAAACTTTGACATTTTGAGCAAAAAATAATTTATAATTTAAGATCAAATAAAACAAGCACGATTTGGCTTCGTACTTCAATGTTAATTTAAAAAATTTTAATTTTCTTTTCGGACAAGAAAACATGGATCAAGTTTCCACTACGCCGTCTATATTGACTGTCATTACTATATGCCATCGAATAACATTAACGACGATTGATATATTCGAAAAGATACGTTTAATGCTAATTTCAGTTTCCAAAAATAAGATTTCATTAAAATCATTTAAATTTAGAATTTCCCATCTGCATAAAAAATTATTTAAATTTCCTAGTTGCATTCAAGAAAGTTAATAACAGACAATAATTTGATAGCAAAGCAAGAAAGCAACGCACAAGGTTAATGGAATTCCTCAGGTGTTGTAAAGTATTCCAAATGAATTTTAAACATTTCGGTCGCAATTTAATTTCCACAGGATGGGTTTCGACGAATATAAAACATTTCGTTGGCTATTTAATTTCCACAGGATGAGTTTCGACGAATATATAACATTTAATTTGCTTATTTATTTTAAACAGGATGGGTTTCGACGACTATATAACATTTAGTTTGCAATTTAATTTGCACAGGATGGGTTTCGACGAATATATAACACTTCGTTTGTTATTTAACTTGCACAGGATGGGTTTCGACGACTTCATCCGGCACTTCAGTCAGCTGGACGTCGTACACGTTGGCCCCGACGACTGGATGAACGAACCCGCGCTGCACTCCAAGAAACCCTGGCGGGCTGTGCTGGCCCGCCGCCGCTGGAGGGCCGGGTACAACGCGGGGGGTGGGCCCCAGTACGCGGGTGAGTTGGGGTAAAACGCTGGGGGTGGGCCCCAGTATGCGGGTGAGTTGAGGTCCAACGCAGGGGTGGGCCCCAGTACGCGGGTGAGTTGGGGTACAACGCGGGGGTGGGCCCCAGTACGCGGATGAGTTGGGGTACAATGCGGGGGGTGGGCCCCAGTACGCGGGTGAGTTGGGGTGCAACGCGGGGGGTGGGCCCCAGTATGCGGGTGAGTTGGGGTACAACGCTGGGATTGGGCCCCAGTACGCGGGTGAGTTGGGGTACAACGCTGGGGGTGGGCCCCAGTACGCGGGTGAGTTGGGGTACAACGCTGGGGGTGGGCCCCAGTATACAACGCGGGGGGTGGGCCCCAGTACGCGGGTGAGTTGGGGTACAACGCGGGGGGTGGGACCCAGTACGCGGGTGAGTTGGGGTACAACGTGGGGGGTGGGCCCCAGTACGCGGGTGAATTACACATAGCATTTAAAGTATGGGGTCCAGTATGCCTGTGAGTTGCACGTAGCATGTAAAGTATGGCGGGAACGATACGGGAAAGGAAATATAGTAAATAGAAGAGGCTAAGTCGTAAGACTGAGTCAAGTCGTAATGATATTCAAGCGACTAGTCTACAGTGTCCTTGGCTTCACTTTAGTGTTGGTGGTTCATGAATAAGAAGGCTTCAAGTCGAGCATGCAGGTAAGCAGAGCATAGACTGAGCTAGTGAACAAATTTTCAATTAGACTTTGATTTAGTTTAATAAATATGGCCTGCGCTATTGTTACAGGACTAAAACTACTATTTTTATTTTTAAAATATATTTTTCTAAACAAATCCGTTATTTTTTGGATTCGATACATTAGTGAATTTATGTTAAAGGCAAAGCATATCCAAAGATTCATTATTTCAGTAGAAGTTTGGTTTAAAAAACCTAAAATCCCCAACGCGTATGCCCTCGTTTAAATGTGAATGCTGATGACTTTGCACGTTTTTCTTCTGTCACAGATACGATATCGCACAACCCCCAGTTCCACGTCCAGATCCCTAGAGCAGGACTCTCCAAGTGTCACGTGGTCGTGTCAGTGACACAGCAGTACGAGACAGCTCTTACAGCCTCCTTAAGTGCACTCAACAACTCCCCCAATAACACAATCACCAACACAATTGCCAGCAATAACGGCAGCAGCGCGGCGGCCGAGAAGAGGAGGAGAAGAGTCTTGCATCCAATAGGCTTCGCTGTTTATGAAATTCCCGCTAATCTTTCGAGACTTACCCCAACATTTGTCAATAATCAGGTGAGTTAGTTGCATTTAGTCAGTAGTGCAATACTAATCTACCTTCCTGACAGATACAACAATTTTTTTTAGACATATCCAACAGGGATATCTGTGCTCAGCAAATAGTTATGGGCGATTAATTACAACTGCAGTCGTTTTGCATAAATATATTCTGTGAATGCGTGCAACTGGATACAATGTATTGCAATTTTCAAGTATTATGCCCATGAATTAGGTATCTATAGTTTGCATTCTATTCATACCTATTATGTTCGCATTCTTACCGCGCATGACGCCTCACGCTTCAGGTGCCGTTGGACGTGACCAACTACAGCACGGCCAGGGAGACGGTGACGTTCTTCACGCTGCCCCCCGGCGACTACATGGTGGTGCCCCACACGCAGCACCCCAACTGTGAAGTACGCTTCCTGCTGCGCATACTGACGGACGAGCAGAGCAGCATATGGTGAGTGTGGCGACGAGCAGAGCAGCATATGGTGAGTGTGGCGACGAGCAGAGCAGCATATGGTGAGTGTGGCGACGAGCAGAGCAGCATATGGCGAGTGTAGCGACGAGCAGAGCAGCATATGGCGAGTGTAGCGACGAGCAGAGCAGCATATGGTGAGTGTGGCGACGAGCAGAGCAGCATATGGTGAGTGTGGCGACGAGCAGAGCAGCATATGGTGAGTGTGGCCTCCTGCTCATCCTGACGGATGAATGTCAGTATGAATTTTGTATAGTTCGAAAACATGTTTTTTATGAATGAATCTGGATTCAAAATATTTCATTTGTTCCAGGGAAGTGAACGAGGACAACATGGTTTTCCGCTCGATGAGTCTCAGCAGCACCGAGGATATTAGCAAACCTGTGAGTCTGAAGTTATTTTTGCTTCGATTCTTTTCATTTTCAGGGTGGCACAGTGGTTACAGTTCATAGTACCAGGATTGGCGCAGAGAGGCGCGGGTTCGATCCCAGCTCTGTGCGCCAGTTTCTGGGTCAGAATCGGTAAGGAGGCCGGGCGGTTAAGCATACTAGAATTGTAGCAGTGAGTTGCGAGTTCGAGACCGCAAAATGCTGTGAATGTTCTGCAATGTTAAGAATTAGCGAAAGGCCTACGACCTAATAAACGCTGAAACTGCTATATTATTATTATTTCATATCAATTGTCATCCATGCTTTCATTCTCATATCAATTGACCTTGCTTTAGGGCATGTTTATAATTCAGTTTTGATATTGCGTGAATTAGTTGGTTTCACAAAATTTGGAATTATGTTACTCAAGCAACCAAAAAAATAAATAAATAATTAATTAATTGATCAATTGAATTCCCCAAAAAATCTTCAGTTTCCTTCCTTATATACGACCCTCTTTCTTTCCTTTATGACCCCGCCCATTTTCTTGTAGAACATTATATGCTAAATTTTTGAGTAGATATATCCTTTTTGTATTAGAATTGCCATCCATAAGAATCGAATGAAGGCCAGTATATAAATATGTATCCAATTGACGAAAATTTAAATGATTTCATATGAAAGGGAACCACTAATTGTTCTATAATGCATGTTTGCATTTTTCTTGTCGAACTTTGTTGTATTTCAACGAAATGACCACAAAAAGCTTGCTTTCTCCAAGCTTAAATATTCGTTGTTATATCATTAGTTTGCGTCAATCGTATATTAAGCTTGAATTCACAGAGCAAAGAAAACGCTAAAGAAAATCACCATATCTCAATTATGATAAGGTAGATTTTTGTGTTTCATTTGCATTTGAATTATTGATACATATAATTTACTTGATACCTTAATAATGCGTAAAAATTTGTCAAGTCGCGGGACGGGCGGCAGGCAGTGCAGCGGCTGGTGAGCAAGCTGCCTGCTGAACTGGACGCCACGACGCTGCATAAGCTGCTTGCCAAGAACTGGAAGTGTGAGTATGATATATATAATAAACTATATATCATTTATAGATGTTCGAATAGTATTGAATATTATCACACGACGCTGCATAAGCTGCTTGCTAAGAACTGAAAGTGTGAGTACCGTGATGATTATATTATATTCCCAAATAGTATAAACTATATATCATTTATAGATGCTCGTATGGTATTGAATATTACCATATATACAAATGTAATGATAATTATCATAGAATCATGATAATATTTACTATATCATTTATAGATATACTATAGCACTAAGCTATATATTACACATATATTTTTGAAGGCTACCTCAGTGCCTAATAGATATTACAAAAAATACTGTAAAAAGATTTCAGTGTCTCTATGATTCGAGGTTCTGAATGAAAAACTGATGAACATTTTGTATCATGAACAAAACGGAAGATTACAGCGAAATAACGAGCTCTTTAATCTTCGAAATCACAACTTTTGCTAAAATATAATTATAAAACCTTATACATCACATTAGTAAGATGATTCTTAGGTGAAAAAAATTCGTTGTTACCTTTAATAATCGTTGTTTGACATTTATTTGATTTTAAATCTGTTGAGGTATGGCGCCCGTCACCGAGCTCATTTGCATAAATATTGTCTGAGTACAGGAGATGGTGTACTGTCAGTGTACAGTCAGTGTACTATCAGTAGCGCATCTAAACACTGATACGTTGATGTAGTACCCAGTATAATGGTCAGTGGTCCCCCAGTATAATGGTCTGCTTGGCTCCCGGTACAATGATGGTTTGTTTGGCCCCGCAGCAAAATGATGGTTTGTTTGGTCCACAGTATAATGATGGTCTGTTTGGTCCCCAGTATAATGGACCATTGGCCCCCAGTATAATGGTCTGTTTTGCCCCCAGTATTGGCCTCCGATATAATGATGGTCTACTTGGCCACCAGCATAATTGTCCGTTGGCCCCCGGGATAACAGTCGTTGGCCCCACAGTATATTGATGATCTGTTTGGCCCAAATATAATGATGACCTGTTTGGGGCCCCCAGTATAGTGGTCTGTTCGGCCCCCCAGGACAATGATGGTCTATTTGCCCCCAGTATAATGGTCCATTGGTCCCCCAGCATAACGATCCATATGTCCCTCAGTTTTGCTGCTGGAGAAGCCCTCCCTGGAGCTGGCCAAGAGCCTGGTCATGCTGCGCGACTACAACATCAGCGGCAAACTGGCGGCCACCGATGCGCCGCCTCTGCTGCTCATGCTCCAGTTCTGGCGGGTGAGGAGGGAATGGTGTGGCATGTTGTGAACAGTGTGGCATGCTGCAAACAGTGTGGCGTGCTGCAAACAGTGTGGCGTGCTGCAAACAGTGTATCGTGCTGCAAACAGTGTGGCATGTTGCAAACAGTGTGGCATAAGGACGCTGGGTGATGTGGCGTAGTGTGGCAGAAATGGCGGTGTCGTTGTTAATGATATAACATATTTCTGTGAAGAATGATTATTCGATTGGGATTTTTTTGTATGTTTGTGGGAAGGTAATAATAATGGTAATATCCATAAGTTATCCTATTCAATCATTAGAGAGATCGCTAAGATGTTGTTTGTTATTTTAAATACAAACTCCACTTATCAGCCACATTTCTCTTGTCCATAACCTCTTGTCGACCTAAAAAATATTATCTAGCAGCGACTAAAAATAAACTATATCAAATACATTAGAAAACTATATATTTTCCAGACGGCGTTCTCAAAGTTCGACCGCGGCGGCGTAGGCAAGACGAGCTCGTACGCCCTGCGTGGGGCGCTATGGGAGGCCGGGGTGACTGTGAGCAACAAGGTGCTCGAGTGCCTCGTGCTCAGGTTCGCTAAGAACAGCGTGCTCACCGCTGAGGCCTTCGTCATGGCCATGGTCAGGCTGCATCTCGCGCACGGTGAGCATCATAACGGCTTAACGAAATTTATACAGGTTTATTTGGCGATATGATATCATATAAGATGTGTGATATTTACTTTTTACTATTTACTTTAAATATTTACTATTTTTACTTTAATTGCAATATTAAAGTAAATTATCAATTTTAATGATGAATTTCTCAATATTATTGATCGTTGCATATTTTTCAGAGCGCTACCACAGCATCGATACGAAAATGAAAGGCAATCCACTATCTTTAGAAGAGGTGAGTAATGTAGGGACCCATAATATATATACCAAATACGTAGGGAATGTTCTTGTATATTATTACGAGAAAACATTTACTAATTCAAATGTTGATTATGTGTACATTTGTGAGTTTGAGGCCTGATCCGTAATTATCTAAGAGCGTTCTGATGCATTTGAACGATTCTCACGATAATAAATTTATTATCGTTACGGGGTATTCCCGGTTATGCAATGTCTGAATCCTCCCACTAAAATTAAAATTTCTACCTATGTTGGAAATGGTATCCCACGATAATTTTTTATGTAGACACTTGCCAAATAATAAATTATAAATAATCGTTAATTATAAATCAGATATCACAAAAATTAACGGATCGATTCAGTACAAAAGATTCCTTCGACCTTCAGTCGCGCCCCAACCATTACATTCAGAGTGACCTGAGCTATATACTATTATGTATCTCTGTAGGTTATTTATTTGACTTCACCGTTATTTTAATGTTATATAGTGCATGTAGCCGTAGCTCATCTTTTTTTTCGTACACCGCCTATTTCTAAGTCTTCAGTTGCATATAAAGGTGGGTTTCTTATTCGATTGTGCCATTAAAGCCTTAAACTTGCTAGGTTATTAATTGGTCTTCTTTATTTAATGTTATATAGTGCATTTAGTCGTATTGCATCTTTACTTTATTCATCGCCCATCAATAAGTATTTATTTCCACATAGAGATGATATTATTATTCGATTATGCCATTAAAACAAAAACGGTTGGTTTGCTGCACGTCCTTGATGATAATAAGTCATGCTGTTGAGACTTTGTCCTTTGTTGAACTGTGCAACATTAGTGAGAGAATGTTGCCAACATGCCAATGTGTTTAACATATTTCTTGTTTGAGAGATAACAAGAAAAACTCAGTTCATAAGTCAATTATACAAATCCTGACGTCAGTAGATATGAAGTTAAACTCTAGTATGGAAATAGCGTTAAATCTCTCGAGCAAAAATGAAAACAGAAATGATAGACTGTAATATAGTGATAAAACATCAGGCCTTGATGAAAAAAAAATAGATATATAAATGCATTCAATTAAAACTGTGTTGAATTAAAAAAAACAGTTGTCTGTTGGTACTCGGTCCTGCAATTGCGACAGGTTCAAGAATTTTTTGGCGGTCAAGATGAGAAGGATAATCAGTAAATTATGAACATTTATAATACGTGACAACTTTTTACAATAAATAACAACTAACGCGGTTTTTGGAAATATCTTATCCAACAACAGGGCTGGTTTCTGGCAATTTAACCTTCTAAAATGGCTGAAAATAAAAATAAGATTTCGTCTTATTTATCATTTTAAAAGGTAGTTGACCAGCTTCGGTTTCTTACTAAAGTAATTTTACAAAATCTCTTGTTTGGTGCCACTCAATGGTTAACCAAATGATTGAATAGTACGAGTCAGATTCTGACCCATTCCGTGCACTAAATTCCGTTTTCTCGTAATATATCTGTAACATGAAGCTGAATTTATAAATTCTTGGATAAATTCAAAATAATAAAATATAACCATCTTATTGATATCTCTGTCAAGGTGGAAATTTGCACGAGAGACAAAGGGCCTAGTCTAGTTGAGGATATTTCCAAACTGCGTAGTGACAGTTATTGATCGAGTAAAATTTGTACCGTATGAATGTAAATAATTGAAGAAATTCGAAAAAGGCTTGGTCCAATTGGGGCTCGTTCTTGTCCTTAGTACAACTTTAAAACTTCGCCAAAACACTACTTTGAAAGTGTTAACAGCGAATTAAATTCACGATCATTTCATTGTACGTTTAGGACGATCTTTTTTTAACGTAGATTCTCTTTAAGCCTGATATACGAGACAAAATCTTGATCTTGATTGCTCTGTTGACTTTCACTCGAAATACTGACGTTATTTTCATAATAGAGTTTAACTTTTAAGCTACTGACGTCAGGATTTGTTTAATTGACTGATGAACTATTATTGGCTAGAACTGTTTATTTTCTTGGTCTGTCAGTATAATTTTCTCTCTAATGTTGCAAGGTTAAAAAAATAACACTCGCATCATCATGACCGGTTATCCTCGTGATCGAGTAAGAAACCAACCGTTCAGGTTTTAATGATATAATCGAATAATATTATCATCTTTATCTGGATCTAAATACTTATTGATAGGCGGTGAATAAAACAAAAATAGAATACTAGAATAATATTAAATGTACTATAAATTTAAAAGCGAAGAAAACTCCACAAAAATTTAGCATATCTCTTTTGAAAACGTTTCGGAGACCAGCTCCATCGTCAGTTCGATAAATCTAAAACACAGATAAATGCAGAAAATTAGTTTGGAGTTAATAAAAAAAACACACACAGAAGTTAAAAACCTAAATTTACAGACAAAGGGCAGAATAATGAAGTAAGTACCTATCTATTCACAATTTCTAATGGATAAGAACTATAGGCAGCATTTAAACTAGGCTTCTCTTTAAAAATATACAATGATTCCAAAATACGCAGGTCGGAAGCACCAATGTCCGACACAGACTTTAAGGTTTTAGCTTATAGTTCTGGTGCTTCCGATCTGCGAATTTTGGAATCATTGTATATTTTTAAAGAGAAGCCTAGTTTAAATGCTGCCTATAGTTCTTAGCCATTAGAAATTGTGAATAGATTGGTACTTACTTTATTATTCTGCCCTTTGTCTGTAAATTTAGGTTTTTAACTTCTGTGTGTGTTTTTTTTATTAACTCCAAACTAATTTTCTGCATTTATCTGTGTTCTAGATTTATCGAACTGACGATGGAGTTGGTCTCCGAAACGTTTTCAAAAGAGATATGCTAAATTTTTGTGGTGTTTTCTTCGCTTTTAAATTTCTACTGAATCTGCGATTAAAGCAATCTAGTGACTTTTTAAAATGTACTATATAAAATTACTTAGGCATGGTAAAAAATGTCATAACATCAAAATAAAAAAAGAGGGCCACGTCGTTTCAAGTGCACGTAAGAACAGTGACGTATTTCTTCCGTAAAATTATAAAATGAACAAATGTTTCCGAAAGAAAGGTTAATTAAATTAGGCGACGTGGTTACATTTTGGTGATCATCTTCATGTTGCAAATATGAAGCAGCTGAGTAGAAAAGAAACTTTTAGGATGGGTGTAGTCTATATGTTAAATTGAAGCAATAAATGTAGCAAGAGTAGAGTTTTTGTGTAATCCAGTGTACAGTTGGTCTGGTTGTCAAGTTTTTAATTAAGTGCATTGAGAACCAGTTGATTGGTAGTATAGACGTTTGTATTCACGCACAATTGTATTCTGCACTAATTCTTGTCGTGTTAATTAGGCATTGTGACTGTCCATTACATATATTTTTAAGCCTCCAGAAAATAGCTGCATTGTGAGCTGTCTTGATAAGGTGTTTAGTAATCATGTTCATTGATATACGAACGGGTGCGCTACTCATACTCCCTCTGTTTGCACGTTTAGTCTTATCCGACATTTGTTCCCTATAAGTTAGGTAGATTTAAGAGCTGTGTTGATACACGTTATGCAGTTATCACAATAAGGCTCTTGTAGCAGTTTGTCATTTGTAGCCGGTGTTGGTCGGTTGTTCATTTGACGTTGTTTCTGATTATTTGCTTGAGGATTTGTTCGCGTTTTTTTTACACAGAGGGATATTAAATTTGATAGCAAGATCGATGGACTTGCGGAGACCGGGCGTCCTTGCATCATTTCTTGGTTTTTCTAAGTTTTATGATTGACTTTTTGAAAGTTATTATTGTGGAAGAGTGAATTTAAGTAACGGGTGTTGATAAAAATTCGATGTGATGAATGCTGCTATGATTCAATTTTTAAAATAACATGATAAATTCTAAGTGTAATATATCTTATTAAGGGCGGTAGCGTAATGCCTTGTTGGCACGGTCTTTCTGTTATGTGCATTTATTATATCCTTATAGTATATTATATCGAATATAATCGGCGGCTTCAACGTTAACATCCATGAAATTCATTTCATTGTCTGTTCCGATTTCGAAATTGAATTTCAGGACGTAAGTATTCAAAAACCTGCCACAATAAACTGACGGCTCTTTAACTGATGTAAGAAATCCCGAATTCCGGCAAGTTATCAAATTTTCCATCAAAATCCATATTGCTCCTCTGCATAGAAAAATCAACGGACGAATTCTTCAGTAAATGATTAGAAATGATATCAATTGTACAACCTACAACCACCAGCCACAATTGGCAATATGCGGTGGCGTATATTACATATATATATTACGTACTAGCGTCGTCGAAAGGAAAAACATAACTTGCCTTGAAGCAAGCACTTGTCATGTACAAAAACACGTGCCACCTGGGGGAGTGTGTGCCCCGCACCCATTCGTATATCAGCCTGATTACTAAAACCTTATTTAGACTGCCCACAAGGCAGCTATTTTCTGGTGGATCTAAAACGAAAGTTATAGACAGCCGCAATAACAAATTAACGCGAAATGAACTGGGCGCAGAATATAATTCTGCGTCATAAACAAAATTAACAGACTAAAATAATGGAAGCAATTCTAATTCGGTGTCTAAACTGAAATGTCTAAACTACCAACCAGCTGGATCTCAACGCACTTGAATTCTTGACAACTAGACCAACTGTGCACTGGAAGACCCCAAAACTTTCCTCTTTCTACATTTACTGCTTTAATCTAATCTCTTTCCTGCGGTCATCCTGATAGCTCCCGTGTACTCACCTGCTTTATTTTTGCACCACGAAAATGCTCAGTAATGAGTAAAATGCGAAACATTAATCAATCAACCTCCCATATTTAGTAATTTCATGGCCTATTGAAACTATATACGTTCTACTATACAAGACAGCTGAAGATTAATCTATCCTGATGTTCAATTTAAATATACGAGTTTCATGTATATATCATACACGTTATTCCTTACAGATGATCCTGATGACGATATATTCGTGAGTCTCCCCTTCAGCCGTGACCTGCGCTCTTGTTTAAACCGCCCAGTTTTGAGAATGACGAGAAGTCTCTTTTAGCCTGCAAGAAAAAAATAAGAGCGTACATTTATGCCTAATTTCAACAAAATAATATAATTTCCAAAATTTTTACAAATATTTCACGCTTCATCTAGTGTAAATTATACCGGATAAAGATACCAGTTTTCATTATTCACGATTCACAAGTTTCGAAAATAACTGTTATTATTTGAATTATAAATTGAAATATAAGTCTATACTGCCTGCTTTGCCGTACAATCCAAAAAAAAAATCTTAAAGTTGAACGATATCTAAATATTCCTACTCACCACGAAAAATGCACACCTACGAGTCGAGTTCTACAATAACTTTTCATTCCCATTAGTTACCTTCATTATTGTTATCATTTTTAACATTACTCAGACTGAAAAATCTTTAGTGAATTCGGTAAATATGAAATATTAATAAAAAACCATGCTTGTGATATCGATAATTATTCACTGACATGAGTTACTATTGTGGATACCTTTACTGAATATGAACGAATCTGCCTGTACGTCGAACGTTGCTTCCATACCGGGTATACTGGATTTGTGAACAAAAACTGAGTTAGTTTCTCTGTAAAGCGCGGAGTTTCTTGCCAAGGCTCACGAAAAAAGCGATGCTATTCATACTGTAAATATTGTTCATATGCCATGAAGTCGACCATACGTGAAGCCCCGCTCCCTTTACAGGTGTGAGGAGCTTCAGATTGCAAATAATGTTGAGCTTTCGTTGCAGAATAATATATGAAAGTTTATATTACCATTAGGTATGAGCAATTATTTCACAGCCAAAGTTGTGCTACTTTTAAGGTAATACAATTTGTGTACATAGAATGTTTTTGTAGTTAATTTTTCTGATTACTAATGTGTAAATGCCCTCTGAAGTATCAAGTCTGTACGTTGTCATTGAAAGATTCAAACATTAATGTTCCCAATGAATGAAGACAAATTTTTAGGCGATTTGTTTGTAACTACCAATTTCCGACGTAACTTTAATTTTGTCGTAAAAATATTCATCATTAGTAATTAAAAAGGGCTCGGCCCCAAGCTCTAATATCTCGAGGATCAATCTAATCTAACAAGATTGTTAATGTATCAAAAATAGTAGGTTAATATGAATTGTGCCACGAATACTATTTGTTATTCTTCTAATTATAGGTTATCGCCCGTGTAGAGATAATATACCCATGATATTTTATAGGATAAAACGCGAGCTCACAAATTATATATACTTACCGTTTATGCCACACAATTTTCTGAAGACAGTTCAAACAATTGAACTTGCCCATTACGTGTTATTTCGAGCCAAAGACTTTTCAGCTTACTTGTTCACTTGAAGCAATGCTCCTGCCAGCAACTGTTCATACATTGCAGTGACCAGTTACCAACGCAAATTTGTTCAATTGTAAAAGTCAATTCACAGATTTAAATTACTTTGCTGCAATTGAAATTCATTATAATTATTAGGGCCATGAGTGGCATAGAATTATTTAAGTGCCGAGATTTCTGAGGTAATTATAAACTTGGAATTTAAATTGGCATGAAAATAGAGGGGTATTGAAGAATGCGTGAAATAGTACCAATTATTTAATAGTTAGTGTTGATGTGAAAAGAAATTAAAAAGGTTTGCTAAAGTCAGACTGAATTTATTTTGTCATGCCCTTGAAAGCCCCATCATAATCAATACATGGAATTTGGCATTTGAGCTTGCTGGGATTCAATTTACATAATTTTAGTTTTTGTAATATCTCAAATTATATATATATATTTATGGTACGTCGAATCGAAGTCCGAAATTGATCAGCCATATTAGTTTAACGCTCAATATGTAGAAAATTATTCTGTTTGTCCGATCGGAATAAAATAGACTATAATTTTCATAAACTGGATTCATAATTAACATGCATGATTTAAACTGATAGACGGCCTCGTCAATGAAAATGTCAAATAATGCAATTGAATGATATTTTATTTCGATTTCAATGAAGCTAATAAAGAAAGTTGAACGGTATATCGTTGTTTTCTGTCTATCCCATAAGAATTGGTCTATGATTACTTTATTGCAGGTCGTTACAAGGTCGGTCGGTCGGAATGGTTAAAGATCACCAATACTGGAGAAGCGATTATGAGGGTCAAAACCCACAACAAGTTGTTAAAATTTCACACAAAATCGACAAGTCGATTGGTTAAGAATCGTTGAAGGGCTGATATTGCTCTATCAAATATAAACACGCTACTATATTTTGTACCTTAAAAAACATTCATCCAAGTTGAATCATGAAGATATTGGCAAAGAGTCAAGTTACTATCAGCCCGGCAAAGTAGGAGGCTTCGCTACCTAGAAAAAAAATTATTATTAAATAATTGATGGGTAAAGTCTAGCAGTAGCATTGAAATGAAGAGCTTGACGCTAACCATCGTAAAAGTTAAGAGATCGTAAATTCATCAGCCAATCATTGACGGCCTTTCCAGCAAAATCTACCAATCATAGACAAGAAAATAGAACGTAAGTACTTACGTTCACTTAGCAAGTTTTGAAAGTATGGCCCCTGCACAGTGAATGCAATCTATCGCGTCATGCCTCGCGCATGACGCGCGAGGCATGGTATGTGATGGATGATGGAATATCCTCAGTCAAAAAATAAATAGCTGTGATAGCATTGCAAATTTCAAACTGCTACGTTAATTATGTGTGGAGATATAATGAAAGGTTATGAAAAATCAACAACTCCGTCTGTGTGGAGACTGACTGCGGTAACGCAGAATCTCAAGGCAAAGTTCTCCGATGAAAACCCTCATTTCGTATGAATTTTGTAGAATTTTTTCATTAAATTATAAGCTGTACCTTAACGAACTTTGGATGCGGTTCCGAAGGAATAGGTGCGGCCTGGGACTCGACGAGCACGCAAATCAGCCGTTCTATGTCCTCGAGATTTCATACTACTTATTGCATGCTCACAGTCAACTATTAGGTCTGATAAAAAATAATAATAATCAGAAACTGATTTTGATCGGGTGGCCAAGATGACCCAGAATAACTTTGCGCCGAGTGATACGACTATTCGCCGAAGCCAAGGCGGTCGCCTAATTTTGTTAGGGTATTCTGCACGATTGATAATTGAACCTTACTTACTTACTGAACCTTACCTTTATTTTATTTTCTAAATACATTTTAAAACAATTTTAAATCGATTATAAAAATTAAATGGATTTTCTAGTAAAATAAACTTTTTAAGTAAAAAATGAATAATTAATAATAAATTAATGAATTAATAATTAAATTAAATTTATTTCCTTCATTAAATGAATGAATTAAGTAAGTAAATTAATGAATAAACAGAATAATTAATAATAAGAGCTCATCTTGAAAAAACTATCCCGATTCGCGATACAGATTACATTCTGGTCCTACATTCCTGAAATACTTGCGAGCTGTGATGCCGTTTACAGATAACGTGCGTGTCCCAGATGAAAAACTCAGTATTGTATAAAATAACATCTCACTAATCGGATTGCCTGTTTTTTGAGCCGTCTTTTCGTTTATCTCGACGTGGAGCCGAAAGATCCTGAAGATTTAGCAGCTTAGGAGAATTTGAAGCCGCTCAACAGCGAGCCTCCGGCTCAGAGACATCGATTTGTGCAACAAATTAGAGGTAACTGAACTGTCCGAAAATTGTCCACAATGATGGAGCTATTTGGAAAGACCTAATTGGTTTATGTTAGGATTGAGCAAAAGCTTCATATTTCGTCAATCGCATTCTGAGACTCGTCTAATACCGCTGATCTCTATAAACATTTAATTGCAATGTTGAATTGAAAAATTTGGGAAGGTAACAAAATACATTGAAAATCAGTCACCTGTAATGGCAAACTAAAAGAAAACAAGAAGCAAGTATCTTCGCTTATTAGCGATAGACCGGAAATGAGTACCGGAATGACTAAAGTACTAAATGACCGGAATGAGTACTAAATGACCTGAATGAGTACTAAATGACCGGAATGAGTACTAAATGACCGGAATGAGTACTAAATGACCGGAATGAGTACTAAATGACCGGAATGAGTACTAAATGACCGGAAAATGAGTACACCAGATAAAGTAGCATCAGCATTATTAGCTCAGGTAGCGCTGATGTTCTCAGCATTATACATCGGCATCTAAAACAAAAGCTGTCAAAGTAATAATAGCATTATGAGTTGTAAATTAGTAGAAGAAGAAGTAGTTATATTTATGAAGTAAATATTTCGTTCTCATTGCTAAACATGCTAGTAAATTTGCTTCTTCATGAGTAAAGACTCTTCCGATTTTCGGTCCGTAAGCGGCTACAGTGAGCCTCTCGATTAGAGGCCGGAACAAATTTTCCGCAGTTATCGAACTCGTATATCTGTTGAATATTCGTAGAAGTTGCAGTAGTAGGAGTAGAAGTATTATAATATTTTTATTTGTGATATTAGGAGTAACATGCGAGTTGTACCCGTAACAGTCAAATGTAGTTGCATTAGGTGTACTGCAATATATAGTAGATGAAATGATCTTCGGGTAGGTATATTTACATTAAACACAGGTACGGCGTATTGCAAGTAGAAACTATGCATTAATAGGTTTTAGGCCTATTTCAAAATAGATTTGTTCTGCCTGGCCTTAAATTTTTCGTACGAATTTTGATGCCATTAAATACATTGAATTTCTCGACCTAAATTAGTCTTTAGGATAATTTGGGCAGTGCGGCAATCCTATCGGCATCAAAAATCGCGAAAAAGAAAAAGAAAATAATAATTTTGGAAATTAAACTTTTGTAGGGTTTTTCTCCCTACGCTGGAGGTAATCCTCTTCTAGAAATGATTTAAAAAATAAAGCGCTAAGCAGGATAGAAATAAGTGATCATCAATTAAGGAATTTTAATAAGAATTTATTCAAAGCTTCTTATTCGGGGCAGTTTCTTCATACTCAAAGTAGTTTAAAATCCATTTAGAAAGCTGCGTCCAGGTTTAACTTAATTTGGCAGTAAGGCGGCAGATGTTGAAGATTACTCGAGATACTGGTAAAACAAACGCAATATTACAATAGAGTCAATAAGCTAGTAAAAAGTAATAATTCAAATATTTCAGTTGTTAATCAGAAGTAGTTCAGAAGTATACGTTAATAAAAGCTCATGGCTCACCTTAATCAATTAAGATTAAGTGCACAAATTGCGTAGTGCTTTTAGAAGTAGAAATCAATTATAGTAGTAATTATTAATGATTTAATTTAACGCGCGGCAGTTCCAAACATAAATATGGGTCACCTTAGTATAGAGAATGACCACCTTGGCCAGTCAAGGTATAATTTTAAGGTTTAAAGTTTAAAGGTTAACAGTTAAAGTTTAAAGGTTTTACGGTTTCAAGTCAAATAGGCAATTTGACGAGCTGGCCAAAGTGTCAAAAGAAGTGAAAAAACGCATGCACCCCAAAACTGAAATTTAAACAAATCAAAGGTTGTGCACAACAAATTAACACCATTCATTTAGAGAATTAAGGAAACTAAGGTAACATTAAGCACGTAGTGGAACAGAACACGACCGCGCAGTTAGAGTTTACAGAATTAAGCTTTTACGAGAGCAGCGACTCAGCCTTATATGGACTGAGCCCGTTCTGCTTCTTCGCCGTAGTCTTTCCAGAAGCCCGGATCGGAAATTTCCCGAACACTTTTTAATTTATCGCGGTAACAAAATGCTGTGCATTTTTTTGCGAGATGTATTAATCCTTGGGGATCGTATAGCGAAAAAAATATTATTTGAATAAATATTTCACAAAAGAAAAGAAATACTGTATCATGATAATTTCCACAAATAATGCATATTCATGGGAGTCAATAAAATTAAAAAATGAATCGAAAAATATTAAAAGCAGGACTTCAAAGTTGGTGTAGATATGATTAAAAACATACGGAATACCGCTACTTGCAGACGATTTTCGATTAAATATAGTTAAAACTTTTGCATAATCCCGAAAAAACTGTGAACACATCGTTTTAGAGAAAACGAGCTCTGCTTCGAACTTCAAGTTCTTCATACTTAAATAAAATACCATGGAGTGGATACAGATGAGTCGCCTACTTTAATAGCATGGATTATATTATTTATTATCATATTATCTTTGTTCAGGTTTTCAATAATGCAAGTCTATCAGGACCTGAGTTCCTCGTTGAAGAAACGCGTTAATGATGCCACTAATGTGAATCTGGTAATTTTTCGAAAAAAAAAATAAAAAATGCCGACTGGAAAAAGTCACCAGCTGACTTGTTTGCTTGATAAATAATTTCCGTGCATGAAATCGGTCATTTTTTCCTCAAGAAGTGGTTGAACGTCAGTCAGATCATTTTCTGTCCTCATCGACTCTCAATTATATTGCTCATAAATATTGATGTACATTTGATGAATGGCGTCACGGAAATCATTCATCCAAATCCCAAATTTGTCATCATACATGATGTAATACACATTACATCGATTGCACCAGCGTTTCATTATATTTAAAGAAATAATTCACACTCCTAGTCCCTTAATCATTTTCCCTTCTCTTTTCTTCGAGATATAATGTAGGAGTTTTCTTCTCGATTTATTCGTCTAACTTTGAGGAGCGGTCCTGCGTTTCACGAAATTGTTAATTTTATTGGACATAAAGACGTCGCTCGCGGCTGCTCATTTCGAGTGGCGTGGCGAAAATAGAGCGAAGAATTTCAAGACAGGAAATCATCTTTTATTAAAGAGTAGAACTATAACTTCTTAAATTTTCATTGAATGCTACCTGGGATAATATAGCATTCCTTGAAAAGTATTACTATAAATTATGCTATCTGTACATTATATTTTAAATTATGAAGAATGCATAATCCATGTTTTCAATTTGAGTACGAAGTTTTCGTAAAATAAATAGTAATATTACATTATATGGATAAACAATAAAATTCACCCAAATAATTAACCGCGAAATTCCCAGTTTGAAAGTAAAATTATATAATCGCCATTTCAAAGAATGTTTCAAAGTCATCAAAGTTGAGGACATCCTCCTATACCCCACAAGAAAATCGTGACTGGTATCATACCAGCATATACCTTAGAAAAAATACCACTACTACGGCCGACCGCCGGCATTTGGTGGGCGCCCATAAGAAGTCTAAAATTTACAACCGAGACTAATCCCAGATTTTTTCAAATCCCTATTAAAAATCTCAGGTTGTTGTGTATCCGGCGGATGAACAGCGGATGCGGATGCCGTTGCGATATTTTCAGAGGGTACGGACGGTTCTCTCCGTAAGATTTATGAAACGCGCAGAAAAGACGCATGCAGACGACATCTGTAATAGATGTGTAAACGATATTGTTGCCGTACGTGGCACCAAGAGGAGAGTTGGATACCGTTGCGAATTCCGAACATTCCTACAGAATTGTATCCTATGGAGCGCATCAATTTCCGTAATGGCGAGGCGAAGGCGTTTCCTGGCTCCGGCTGCGCACGTTTCATCCTGGTTTTCGTTTTTACCTTGCATTTAGAACACCGGATGGTCTTTTTGCTGAGAATAATTTCACCTCAAGTAAATTAAATTCGACAGTTCAGTCGTGATTTCTCTCTGTGATGTGATTTAAACCGGTTCACGTGTAGTGCGTTTTATTTGTTCAGCAACTTAGTTCACACAAATTTTGAAATCGTAATTTCTCTACCAGAGTTCAGATTTATGATTCTTAGCGTTTATTTCTAAGTATCGGACTTTGCTTCACGAATTCAACACGATCAAATTACTTTCGAAATTCTCAAGGAATCACAATCTAGATTTCGATCCTAAAAGTTAGCGTACGGAGATCAAAGTGCACGATGTAATGGTTGAAGTTTCTGTACTTTAATTCTTAAACGATACTTGCTAGAATACACAAGTGATAACTTGAATCAGGTATCGGCACACAAGACCTCAACGACAGTTCAATAACTACTTGAGTTAACTGTTAATGGTTTAATAGAAGCTCGATAGCTGATGTGCTTACCTAGTACACGAATGACCAGCGCAAGCCTTTGTGTTTTTAGCGTCAAATAAGAGCCCGGCATTTTATTTTCGGCATCGAGAAAAAAGCTTACCTTTGTATTTAGGCATCAAAAAGAGCCTATAGCTTTGTGTTTCTAACGTCAAAAAGTCATGCATTTAATTTTTGGCCTCAAAATAAGGCATAGCTTTGTGATTGAGGATAAAAAATGAACCTAGTTTTGTGTGTTGTGAACTAAAAAGAGCCTAGCTCTGTCTTTTGAGAATTAAAAAATAAGTGACAGACCAATAGTGTGCATTAAGCATCAAAAATAACTTTGATGCTTAAAGGCTACATTAAACAATAACATATTTAACATTAAAAAGAACAGCGTTGTGCTCTATGAGTACAAACAAATGCGAGCTTAAGCATCAAAAAGAATGAAGCGATAATCTTAGAGTTCACTCACCTTACTCAATAAATGCAACTCTACGCAAAATAAATCATCCATTCCCTATGTCAAACATTCCCTAAGACTAACTTTGGGGCAAAATATTATGTAAAAAGTCAAATGAATGTTCAAAGAAATGTTTCTGTATTATAAACATTAACATTTTAAAACTTGATTGAAAGAAATTTTCTCTGTAGCGCAAAGCCAAAATAATGGACTAATTTTAGTGGTACATGGGAGGTAATGATCGAAAGAAAACGATTGCAGATTAAGAAATGTAATTTTTCAGTACCGAGAAAAATTCGAAATCGTGCAATATGGAGCAAGTATAATTAGCCTTGGTTCATAATAAATTATCAGCGTCAATGTCTACTGAATATGACTGGGAGAATCGAGATATCTGGGAGTATTGCCGACAATTCTATTGCTGCTAGTTTCATGTCTCGTAGCATTAGAATACGCATTCTTGAGGCCATTTGCTTACAGGTGCATAATTCACACGCCATTCCTCACACATCATTCCTCACATGCCATGCCTTCTACAACATCCTTTACATGTCATGCCTCACACGTCATTCCTCACTCATCATACCTCTCACGCCATTCCGCACACGTCACACCTCACTCGTCATGCCTCACACGTCATGCCTCACACGTCATGCCTCACACGTCATACGGCTCACGTCACACCTCACAAATCACACGTCACACCGCTCTCAGGATGCGAGTTCTTTGGATATCGTTAGTTTGGAGAACAGCGAGTTGCAAGTTTCGTAGAACCTCCGAGTTTTCGGAGAGCCTCCGAGTTTCGTAGAGCCTCCGAGTTTCGTAGCGCCTCCTAGTTTCGTAGAGCCTCCGAGTTTCGGAGAGCCTCCGAGTTTCGTAGAGCCTCCGAGTTTCGTTGAACCTCCGAGTTTCGAAGAGCCGAGTTTCGTAAAGCCTTCGAGTTTCGTTGAGCCTCCGAGTTTCGTAGAGCCTACGACTTTCGTAGGGCCTACGACTTTCGTAGATCCAAGTTTCGTAGAGCCTTCGAGTCTCGTTGAGCCTCCGAGTTTCGTAGAGCCTACGACTTTCGTAGAGCCTCCGAGTTTCGTAGAGCCTCCGAGTTTCGGAAAGCCTCCGAGTTTCGGAGAGCCTCCGAGTTTCGTAGAGCCCCCGAGTTTCGTAGAGCCTCCGAGTGCCGAATAGCCTGCGAGTCTAAACTTGGTCAGCTCGACGCTAGTTCTGTAAAACTGCGGATTTACATTGCATTAGCATGCGTCCGAGTCTCCATCCCTCTGTAACTGCCGAAAAATTTGCCGTAATAATTCCGGCGACACGATGCCTATTTGTTCTGGCCTTTGTGAGCAACTGCGCGGCTTCAAAAAAACGATGAAAATAGTGCGACAACACAGAAGCGGCGGCTGTGTTGAGGAGAGTGCCGGACGAGTTTCTGGCCTTATAGCCGCAATTTCAGATTTAATGATAAAAAATGTAGAGGATTTTTTAAAAGAACCGTAGTTGTGATTTTGAGGAAAAAAACAGCCGGGCCTTTTAAGCCTTGTCGTCGAAATATTGATTGATATACTTCTTTGAATATCAGAATTTTGAAGATTTTTGGTTTGCGGCGATCTATACCAATTGAGTCAGAGTTTCTCTAACTCTCAGCAAAATTTCATTGATTCTTGGTTCAAGTTCTGCCGAATGGAGGAAAGGAATCGGACAGAAATCCCCACCGGATGTGACATTCAGCGCGGAAATTACTCCAGGATGTTGGTTATTGGAAAAATCTTAGAGATGAATTTCACTGGGAAATGAGAAAACTCGATACGCCGATAAATTATCAGAAGCTATTGAGGACGAAAAAGGCATAGCTTTAACAGTAAAAAATATTGTAAAAATTTTCATTTTACTAAGCAAGAATTGCTATTGCAAATTTTTTGTGGTGAATTTTCTTAGGCCATTTCAAGACTAGACGCAACTCGAACGAAGTAGTGGTTTAAAAAAATGGATCAATTGAAAATAGGCATCAACGAGCTATCAACTTCATAATTATTAAAATCGTGATAAAACATTATTATCGCATGTACAGGTCTCTTCTTGTCGTGATCGACAATTCATCTTGCCATACGGTAGGTAATTTTTATTCGCGCTGTAGAAATAAACAACTGAAATAAAATAAATTCCTAGCAGTGTGTTGATGCTCCTCTCTTAGTTCTGACGCACGCCGAGTGAGATACAAAAATTCGTCAAAATTTACGTCCAAGTTGTCAAGCCTGGCAACTGCAGCGTAAGTTGAAACGTCGCACGAAGACCTGAAGTGATCGCTCAGTACACGCGTGTGCCGACGCTTCCATTCCGAGTACTCGAACAAATGGCAAAAGGGGAAGTCAGAAAATTTCAGTTCTATCTTGTCTATTTGAAGGAAATGGTTGAGGCAGGTTGGTAACGAAAATCAATGTTTAAGGCTACACTTGAAAATCTAATCACCTCTGAAGCGTTTGGACCAAGGAGCTGAAGAAGAGAAGGCGTGGGAAGTTTATAAATGATCCAGGTCAGCAGGCGATAGGTTGGTTGGGGATGTAATAATAATGTCTTGATACTTATTTGAAAATGTGGCTGTGTCGGTACAATAGGTGCCAATATCAAATGGAACTATACTTCAGCATGAATCAAAATGAACGGCTATATTCTAAATAAATTACTTGTCTATACTTCTAGAGTTATTTCAATGTTTACGTCTCTGATTTTATGGTTCTCAACCAAAATCAGATAAAACGAGAAAACAATTCTATCAAAACCAATTATTTTATAAAATACGCTATATCCAAAAAGAAAGATTATTAAATTAAAAAATCGTTTAAAATATTTAACATTCTCTATTCTTATATTAAGCAACCACTTGTAATCGAAATTTTTGCAACGAACGCGTTGACTGCATTAAGCAATGTTTATCCGTTTACCGAGCGGATTTAATATCGCTAGAATTTAAAAAGCATTCGCAAGCAAAAAATCGTTCCACCGTAAATATAATGGGAAACACGTCAGTCGGCTACCTCGTTTAAAGCAACAACTTATTCCACACACTGTAAAACTCAAGTCGCGTTTTGAGCTAAGTCATTTCCCGTATATTTATGTATTTTAGCTCATGTGAATTCTAGCAAGTGCAATTTTTCACGGCTACCGTGAATGGTCCGTATCGTATTTTGAGGCGCGGCTGCTAAAGCTGCCTCGCGAATCGTTCCATCTTCGAAAACTTTTAAAAGCTTCTTCAAAACTGTGCTCGAAACTTAGATGAAACGCGCTATTGAAATCGAACAAAACGGCTGACCCTTTGAAACTAGACCTGCACTGACGGATTGTTGTAGAAAATGTTTCTGAAGTAAACACCACAAGCACCAAAACTCTAATGGAATGACCTCCTTTTGTGCCAGTCAGAAAGCAACCTATAGACATAAACATCGGCAAAAAATTGCGGTAACTGGTCTTGAAAGGTATCGAAAAGTACTGTTTCTCGAGCGGTGGAAATCATAGCTACTTTTTAATGAGAATAAGAAATAGTGATTAAGGAGTAATTTAAATTCGAAAATATTACAATTAGAATTGATATTAATTTGAAAATTTAACAATACTTCATGAATATAATAAAAATAAATTAGATTTGTGTAGTTTTATTCGTAGCCGGTAGTTCATCAAATTAATACATGTAACTATTGCTATCATATCAGGTAAAAGTTTCATTTGCAGAAACCATGCACAACATTTTAGGATTAGGTTGCCTCAATTACAGACCTTACAAAAGACAGCCAATTCGCCATGTAAATTCCTACAGTTGAATTAGCAGACGGAAGGCCCAGCGAAATAGCAGCTTTAGATCTTAAGGATCTTTGCTGTGCGCGGAACTTTTCCAAGAGCGGCGAGTAAATCTGCCTTCAAACGAGACTGGCTTCAATTGAATTGAATTAAATGCCGGGGCTGCCGCGTCTGATAAAGCAGCTCGAGGAAGACAGGGCAATGATCCAGCAGCGTTCCGTGGACTTCTTATTATAAGATTCTCAGTCGAACAAAAAGAGCAACTTCGTCTAGAATCATGAGGGGATTTTCAACAATATTCATCGTTTTATAAGTCAAACTGACTTGTTATATAGCGAAAATTCAGTGCAGGTAGGGTGTCAGATTAACTTATTATCTTTTATTTCATTTAAAATTAAAAATATAGCATGAGTTTATAACGCGGAAATCTCCATTAATTGTTTCTTAACTTTCACTTTAGCTCTCCACAGGATTTATCCCTGGTTCTTAATTATGAATAATTATTATTCTACTGATGATATGCTGATGATGCTGACCTGTTCATTTAGTATACAGCATCATGTCATAATTTCTTCTCCCTTACCCTTCCTATAAAAATTTAGCTTCAAAGTTGCAGACACTTGCGTGGAAACAAGATTTCCGTTCGTGCATTTCACGAAGTTCCGACCTGCTGGAAAACAGCTCGGACTCGAAGTTGAACGCTTGAGTATAAAAGTGCGGAGTTTTCTTGTGGAATGCAAGCCTTATTTCCACTTCATCAGGGTAGCCGCCGAGAATTTCTCCTAGGACAGACGTTTCAAGTCAATAATAGGAACAGAACTTGATACATTTATTCAGATTATCTTAACCAGTATCTAGTGGGATTTTTATTGTACGTTTAGCAATTCGAAAGCAACCGAGAAATTAACAAATGCAATTTTCAACTGTTAAAGTTTTAAATTTGAATAGTAACTAGGGAAAATGAATCTTTCCTTTTGAATAGCAAATAAATAGAATGCCTCCTCCGGTCAAGCTTGGGAATAAACACTAGCTTATTCTTCTCAAAATTAGTAAGTAGTTTGGTTTTCTCTATGAGAAAATTAAATAATTCTACCTACTCTTCCTGCGCAAATCATGCTCTTCTACACTGATAATTTTAGAAAAATTCTAATGGAATTAATGTTGAACATGAACGATCGATAGGTAAAGATCAGGTGAGGCTTCTACGTAAATATTAACGATGAAATTTCCCTTTAATAGATTCAATTTTTATTCGAAATTTTCACTGAAAAATAACTGGTAATGTTGAATTGAATGATTTCGCAATAAATTTGATACCGCGATTCTTTTCAATAAAAATTCAGCCAACGTCAGCATTATCGACAAGATGAGGTGGACGCATTATCGACGACATCGCTGTCATATCGGCCTTGAACGGCGGTAAAACGACCATAAAAACCAGAAAACCATGTCGGCGAAAAATAATATTGATATGAACTTCCTTCTTTGGATTTAGGTTTGCAAAACGCAAGCCTGCGTATTAAATGGGTAGGTAGAAAATGGAAGCCTGCAACCAAATCAAGTCAGAAACGTATGAAGACAATATTGATTCTATATTCTGTATATCAAAAGATGCTAAATGTGACGTAATATAACAAAACATCAGTTCCGTAACGAACACACTGAACATTAATAGAGAACATTCAGGGGGTTACTGCATCAAAAGATAGTGCATATAATATGGAAATATTGGTAATTAATATAGTAACGAACAAATGGAAGAAAGTTTCCAACAAAAAACAATACGTGCATCGCTAGGTACAATAACATGCTGGCACTGCGATATAAATTCAATTTATATAAATTATTAATAGGATAATACCAGATTAGATATGTTCGATAAAAATTTTCAAAACTAACTTTGAAAACTCGTGTAAAAGGTTCTAAAATATATAGTTCAGCACGAAATTTTTTAGTTCTATTCCAAATATTTTTTAGATCATTCATCTAATGCAAATAATTACGCTTTGAAAATGAGAAGAAATAATTAAATTTTGAAACGGCAAAATTCTTTGAATCTTGATACAAATGAATCGTAAATGAAGTCAAGAAATTAATAATAAAATCAGAAGTGATCCTCAAATTGAAATTCCGGTTTTAAGGGACTGACTATTTGAAGGATTCACTATGAATAATAATTATATGCACGACTGTACGAGTACCTCAAGCATATTTTTCCATAATAGGTAATAAGTATTAAAGAAATGAAAGCTACACAAAAATACGTTGGGATTATCTTTAATTAAGAAACTAAAATGCCCTGAAGCGCAGGAACACACAACCATTTTTTAATTCAAGGGCATTCACGCCACTATCCACAAATTTACTCTCATTTCACAGACATTAATTTTTACAGA